GGCCAAAAATTTATATAAAAATTTTATAAGTATAGTCAGACCTCCCTAAATGCAACCTCCATAAATACAATACCTCTCTAAATGCACATTTTTGTCTTGGCTATATGAAATCATTAGTGCTAAATGCACGTTCTATATTTTGCAAATACACGTTTACTCAAAAGATTTTTTATATCATACTAACCTCTCTAAGTGCACGTAGCCAATCAGAAGTCAGTATTTAAGTTTGTTATACAAGTCTGCAGATCAAATATTAAAAGTTGCAATTTGATTGGCTCTCTCTAAATCCAAACCTCCCTAAATATACGTTTTAGGCTAGTCTGTACATGTTGCATTTATGGAGGTTTGACTATAGCTTATTGTTGGATAAAAGTGTTTTTTTGCTAATTTCAAAAAATTTTATTAAGTAAATCAATCATATTTATTAAGTGAAAGTTGTTCAGAAGGTTAAAATACATATATTTTAAAAGTTTTATATAAATTAAATAACTTTTTATTAATTAACTTTTGATTTTTACATTCAATATATATAAATATTAAGAGTAGGGTATTTGTTTACATGTTTTTTTTATGCAATGTGCAAATAAATATGCATGTACAACCAAATATACAATTATAATTGGTTAATTTTGCAGATTATTAAATTTTGATTGGTTTATTTTCATGCTATGCGCAAACAAATGGTAAACAAATATCCTACCCTTAAAGAAATTTTAAAAAATTCATTGAATGTAATATGCAAAAACATATTAATAAAAAGTTATCCAACTTGGATGAATATTTTAAAATATATATTTTTTGATCTTCTGAACAACTTTTACTTAATAAGCTATATCGATTTACTTAATAAAATTTTGACTTTACTATAGAGTAATTACTAATAATTATTAAGTAGCTTATTTTTAGATATAAAATATTTATGTTTTTCTTTCAAAAAAAGAAGGTAGCTTATTATCAGAGGTGGCTTATTTTTAGTAATATATGGTAATAGATATTTTATAAATTCACAACTTTGATCGAAGATATCTTGGTACCTACTCAACTAAATTCTATAAAAATTTTTTATTTAAATTCTACAGTTTTTAGAATTTGAATAAAAATTTTTTATTAAATTTGGTCAAGTAGGTGCCAAGATATCTTTGATTTAAGTTGTATTAAAAATTTTGACACAGTTTTTATAGAATAGATATTTTATTAATTCTCAACTTTGATTAAAGATATCTTAGCATTTACTTGACCAAATTCAATAAAATTTTTTTATTCAAATTTTACAGATCTGTAGAATTCGAATAAAAAAAATTTCATAAAATTTAGTTGAGTGATTACCAAAATATCTTTAATTAAAAGAATTTATTTTATAATGCTATAGCACTATAGTGCTGGGATATTGTGACCAATTAAATTTAAAATCAGGTGTAATATGCAGATCACCCTTTTGTGTAATAAAAATAATAAATTTTTAAAAAATTAATTATATTTCAAAATTTTATTTAAAAAACCATCTTTTGTGTTCTAATAAAAAAAATTCCTTGCAAAATTTTAGTATAACCTATGTCCTGTCTAACTTTGACCTCAGCTTTAATCTAAACCTAATTAAAAGTTTTATTTTTTATAAAGGTTAAATTATTTTAATTTATATATTATACCAATTTTGTATTTACATATAGAGTAGCACTATAGTGCTATAGTACTATAATAATATTTCCTTAATTAAAGTTTTAAAAATTTTGGCTTAGTTACTATAATAGATATTTTATAAATTCACAACTTTGATCAAAAATATCTTAGTATCCACTCAACTAAATTTTATGAAAATTTTTTTATTTGAATTCTACATTTCTGTAGAATTCAAATAAAAACTTTTTCATCAAATATGATCAAATGCCAAGACATATTTGATTAAGTTGTATTAAAAATTTTGATATAATTTTCATATAATAAATGTTTTATAAATTTTTAACTTTGATCAAAAATATCCTAGCAACCACTTGACCAAATTCTATAAAATTTTGTTTATTCAAATTCTACAGATTTATAGAATTCAAATAAAAAAATTTTCTTAGAATTTAATTAAGTGGGTATCAAGATATTTTTGATTAAAGTTTTATTAAAAATTTAACAGTTTTTATATAATAGATATTTTATAAATTTTTAACTTTGGGTGTGGCGACTTAGTGAAGTGGTAAAGTTGTCGCACTCTCAAGCAGTTGAGTACAAGTTCAATTCCCACTGGAGACAAAAATTGAATTTTGAAAAACAGATTCGGCAACTATCGTTGTGGTTAGGAAAACTCAAGACCTTGTAACTGTAGTCATACCAATTCATCGGAACTAGAAGATCTCGGGATATTTGTGTGATACAGGAGTTATATAAATAGATCTTTGGATCATAGAAAGCCACAGGGCTAATATGGCATTGGGGCGCTCACTTGGCAAGACCCGAGTAAAGAGATAGCACAGATCTTTGACAATACTACGTAAAGGATTGTTACCAAGAGAACTGGCAAAACTGAACAGGACCAAAGTGTTCAGCAAGACACTCTACCAACTAGGCTATAAAAGAGTAACCAGAAGAAAAGGACCCAACCGTGGGGACCAAGGGCAGGTCACAGCCCTTTCAGGCCATCTAGATTGGTAGTTTGGAATTGTTGAGGAAAATCAGTGATAGTCTGTAAAGTGTGTACTGAGGTTTGAGTGAACTCTACAAGAGCAGAAGTAGGTAATAGTAGTGGTCTCGGCTCGCAAGTACTTGTATTTGGACTCGGCATAAGTTACTGAAGCCTAGGCTGGCCAGATCATGAGTACAGAAAGTTCTAGCAGGTTTACTTTGAGAACAAAGAGCTCGCTGGTTGAGCCTGCTTTAAAGTCTTAAGTTGGGATTCTTAAGGATTATACTCTAATTCGGTTATATGAAAAGGTTGACTAATATATGGCATAGAGGGTTTAAATAAGTAACCCCCTAGTTGAGTTGCAGGTATGGCATCTAGTATAGAACTTAGTAATAAGTAGACTACTTAAATAAGCAATCAAAAGTTGTACATGTGGCTAATATGTATCTTTCAAAAATATGTATACTGTACGGGTGCCGAGAGGGGCTTAGCGTGCGTAAACGTTAATCAATAACTGAATAAAGAGACCTGACCAAGAGGTCACCTTAATACCAAAAAAAAAAAAAAAAATTCTTAACTTTGATTGAAGCTATTTTGGTATTCACTCAATATATAATATTATCATTGTAGAATAGTATTATTTTAACTATTTTTAGCATTATTATTATATAATAACAATTTAAATAGTAGTACATAGCTTTATTACAATGATTTACATCATTGTATAATAGTTTGTAATATTATTTCTTTATTTTATAACATTATTTTATAATATTATCTTATAGTGTTATAGTAAATAGCATTATTACATAACATTATTAAAAGATATTTAAACTCTGCCTTTTTTTTCAAGGCAAAAAGACATCAATATATGATTTACTCTTGGTTTAGGATATCAATATATGCTCCACACCTTATTTTTGATTATTTTGGTTGTTTTGAATATATTTGACTCTTTTTTTTGATTATTTTTTTGTTATAAAACCTTATTGTATTGTAATAAACTATAATTCTATAGTATGTTTATAGTAGATTTATTGTATTTTTATTAAATTTCATAGTAAAATTATTGTTTTTATTAAGTTATATTTTTGCTTTATATGAGCTATTTTTTGAGTATTATTATTTAAGTTAATAAATCTATCTTTAGTTTATAAACTGTTTGTTATAGCTTTTTTTTATTAAGGTTATATTAGAAATAAATCAACAATATTTTATTTTATTTATAAACTGTTTTCTGTTATAAAATTATATAAACACATTTTTTAACTACTTGTACACTTAGTCAAGTATTGTAACTTGTTAGCTAAAGATCTAACAACACTACATTACAATATAAATAATTAATCATAATTCTTTAAAGTTTCTTAAAAAATCATAACTAATTTTTTACACATATTTTATAATCTGCTAGGTCAAATTTAATAATCTTACTATCATTAGAATCGCAATAACCTTCTTTACAACTTTTATTAGAAACCCAGGCAAAATTATCATAATAAAAAAATTGGGTTTGATTGTTTAAAATTTGATAGTTATTATTGTTTTTTATTTGTGATTTATTGGCCAATTCGAAATGTTAAATCACATGAACTCAACCATATTAGCCAGCCGATCATGTTGTATCGGCTGGCTTAGCCGGCTAAGCCAGCTTAGCCATGGCTACTTTAGTTGGCTTAAAACACTAATTATTGGCTAATATGATGTAGATCGTCACGTGAAAGTGCCATCACGAAAATTATGGGGTGACACCTTTTTGCAAACCGTTATAATTACAGCAGAGACCGTTAATGTTACACATATATTAAAACTGGGCCAACATAAATAATTTAATTTGTGATTGATCACAGGCGAGAGGGATTCACTTTGGATCGGGCACTGTCTCTGCTGTTCGTTATAATGTGGAATTAAATGACGAAAAAACTCACTACTCTGATCGCTAAATTATGATTTATTTAAAATTATTTGAGATAATTATCTCGTAATCATGTATGTTGAATCCAATTCATCCACAATATTTAAGATCGTTCAATAACGATAATAAGCGAATTTAAAATAAATACCTTCTAATTTAATTCGTTCATATTAAATAAGATTCATAAAATATTTTATTTTTATTACAGATTAAATATATAATTATGATTATATAAAATTCTTACTTTGGGGCTTTCTAATGCAATTTTATTAACCAATTAAATTTCACAAAAATCACAAAATGATCTACAAAAATTAGCCAATCACAACGAAAGCCCGCTATGCTGTTCAGATATTGTATAGCAAATTTATGTAAAGTCATTGTAAATAAATAAAGTTATTTGTTCTGAACGTTTTGATTGAAAATTTTTTTAAATTTTTTTGTGCATTAACCATATTAACTATCACTCAAAAGTTATCACTGTGCAATGTAATGCCCGCCTTGTACAAGGCCGGGCCCACCTAATTGATGATGTGATCCCGAGTTGGTTGCTCCTGTAGGATATTGATGATGTAGTTGCTGCAGTTGTGCAGGATTTGCGGCGCCCAAACCGGCCAGAGAGCCAGGATTTAGCCCGCTTGCACCACCGACTGTTGAAGATAAATTTCCTAAATTCATAAGATTTGCCATATTCATTGAGCTTGATGCAAGATTTTGTTGGGCGGCAGCAGCTTGTTGTAAGCTTGGTGTTGATAGTGAAGAAAGACTTGATGAAGACGATGAACCACCCATTGAACTTAGCATCGTAGGCCGTTCCTCTAAGGCTTCGTACATAAGAATGTATTCTTTTTTAACCTTCTCCCAAGTACTTGGATCGAAGAAGATATAATTTCCGCGTTCAAAAGCTTGAGTTTTCGTAAATGGTTCCGTTCCTTGCTCTTTTGTTAACCAGAGACGAAGATCTTTATGATATCGCCAATTTATATCTTGCGAAGCTCAAAAATCTAAAAAAAAAAGAATATCGAAGTTAGTAATTAAAGAAAAAGAGAAAATG